TGAATTGCTTTAATTAGTGTTGAAATGAAAATTTCTGTATACCATTCAATACACTAAAAAGTGAACAGAAATCAGTATTACTGGAAACTTCTCTTAAATAATTGCTGTAATACTTTATCATTCCATACACTTCATCTGTCAGTGCTTCTATTTGTTCTACTTGTATTAGTCCTAACCTACTGCTATTTGGAAATCTCTGATGATGTTCTAATCCCAGGTGAAATATAAAGAAGATCTGACCTGGCTTAAAGGCATTGGTTGCTATGCCTATGATACTCCTGACTTCACTCTGGCTGAAAAGAACAAGACTCTCTACAGCAAGGTATATCTACTCAAGGAAAATGGGTATATCCATTCAACATATTCCAGTGCCCACAGAGATACTCAGCATTGAAAAAGTAACCTTTCATATTTTCATCCATAACATTTCTTCTAGATCCTATAGAATACATTGTTCACTATCCTTAGGAATTTTTTGGTACTGACCTTATTGATTATAGTCAATTGTTTGAATTTGATGAAAAGTCATCTCAATGCAACTCCTCATGCCTCTTCTAGAGTTCCCTCCATATTAATATGCCTCTGGATGATTTATGCTATTAAGAGTTATATGGTAGCAATTACTAAGTGGGATTATTGTAATTGACAAATTCGGTGTGTGACATGAGGCAAATAACTTTTTTCTATTGGCCCCATTCTCCTACTTACAAAATAAAGAATTTGGATTAAGTTTTTTAAGTTTAAATAGGCAGCAAATTTTCTAAAAAGTGTTAGATAGTAATTATTTTAGACTTCATAGGCCATATTCATTCTGTAACATATTCTTTATTTGTTGCAATCCCTTCAAGTTATTAAAAGAATACATTCTTAGTTCATGAGCCATTTAAAAACAGGTGATAAGCTAGGTTGATCATAGTTAGCCAACCACAGCTCTAAAATATTATTATTTAATAGATACTGAAAAACTACATTCAAGTTACTGGACCAAAATAGGCCTTCAAGACCACATGGCAATACCTTCAAGATAAAGTGATGGTTATTATAATATAAAGAAAGAAAGAAGAAATTAATTTGGATTTTTGCCCATTATATAAAATATATCTATAGATATCTATTCAATGAAATTACTTGCTAGTATATATTTTTGGGGTAGTTTGGGGTAGTTTTCAAGGGTCTACCCTTCATTGCCTTGGGAGACAAAGCAAGGACCCAGCACATACTTGTTAGCTGAATGAATGAATGATTGCAATTGTATGATAAGGTAAGTGACATGTCTTTTAAGATAATCACACCTGCTATCAAGTAACTATGTTCTATTCTCTCTAGTATAAATATAAAGAGGTATTTGAAAGGACGAAGTCAGATTTCAAGTACGTTGCTGATTGTCCAATCAATCAGCATTTCAAGTATGCAACTCAGTTGATGAATGAGGTATGTATGATTTGATCCAACTATCAATATATTCAGTTCTCTTTACACATCCATAGTTATCTGATTAAACCCCAGTGCATAAAATGATAAGAAAGACATTCTAAGTATTAATTCAAAGGAAAGATTTATGAAGACTTTAATAATATCACCACAGTGGATTTTACCAAAAACATGAATAAGAACAAGTAAAGGAACAGTTCAGAGTGGTGTGCAGCCCCATGGCCATCATTGTCTGTGCTTGCACTGGCTTTGGCCACACTGTCCTTTGGGTAATGAGAACCAGGAGGGAAAGGATTTTGTTGACTATCAACTGAACTCCCTTATACTTGATATTGTGTAGAGCTAGGAGACCAGAATTCAAGATTAATTTAGTATCCTCTAGTAAGGGCCAGAAATAGCAGTGATTGGAATAGTCTTCATTTAGGGGATAATTGTGATTCATGCATTCAAATTTGTTATAAATGTTACTCATATACTGGTGCAGAGAAGTATCCACTTGAACCTGAAATGTTTCTTTGTTTTCTGCCCAGTCTTTCCTGGAGCTGTCTTTGCAATGATTTAAGTTAAAATTGTCTTAAAATAACTGAAATAAGTAAGCTATGAATTTACTTACATTTAGATAATCTTATATTTAATTTCCTAACTTTGGATTTTATACAGATTATATTAATTCAAAAACAATGTGAAAATGAGTAAAATATATCTAAAATTGAAGATTATTCAAAGATGTATTTTTTGACTTCACAAATAAGTTGTTGGTTCAAATTTGATTTAGTTCATTTTCAGTAAACTTCCAGATTGGATGACTCCAAAAAGTTACTTTCAGTAGCTTCCTAGGAAGCTACTGATTATAATCAGTAGCTTTTTTATAATCAAATAAATTAACTAGCATTGGAAGACTAGTGGATCATGCTTTTTGATCTCACAGCCATAGAGAGTAAACCTGCAATTCATCTGTATCTTATTACAATATAAGATGCCATAAAATCTAACCTTGCTAATGGACTCATGTGAAGATGGAAACAGGTATTCCAATTTTGGGGTCATACATAGATTTTCCCAAGCCCCACTTTTCTCCAGGTGATCTTCATTGCTTGACTCTCTGCCTCCCTGTTTCTATTACCCTGGATGTTTTGGGAGTCCACTTCTAGAAATGACATATTTCTGTCTCTGGAGTATTTATTTTGGGACATTTCTGTCTAGCTTTGAAGTTGTGTTATTGCTATAATTTGATATGATGTTGAGCAGAAAAATACAGAGCTGATTATGAGCAGCGGAAAGATAAATACCAGCTGGTAGTCGATGAGCCTAGACATCTGCTGGCTAAGACGGCAGGCGACCAGATCAGCCAGGTACTATGCTGGGCCGGCTGGATGACCCAGCAGGATGTGTTCCCATTTCTCCTGAGATGTCGTCACGTCTGCTGCAAGGATGTCATAGGTTCTGCCTATGATATTGGGATGTTCTGTTTCAAAGTATCTGTCTAGCCACCCAAAGCCCATGAGCTATTGAGTGTGCCAGTTCATGCTCTGTGTCCTCACATGTGCTGTGGTGAAGACGAAAGGGAAAACACCCTTTTTCCTTTGGGAGGGCCTGTTTGTAAGCTGCAAATTAAGTTGCAGAAGCAAAAACAGAGAAGAATTTAATAGACAGAATGAAGGCAGATCCCTTACCATATTCCTCTACTGCTGGGATGTTTTCTTTTCTATAAGGCAATTCTGGTAGAAACATAAGTGAGTAACTATTCCCCATTCACAAGAACTTTGGTCTGACCCAGGTATTACAGCCATTCTATTTGGCATTATAACATATTTGGTGTCTTCATCTACTTGTATGTGTGGGGACATAAAGTGTGTGTGCCTACATCTCTTCACTCAGAGGTGATGAGGATATAGAGCCATGTTCTTTTCTGTCTTCATAAGTCTCTTTTGTGCTTCACTGCTCTTTGCATGGACAGAGAAAATATAAATCTAGTGCCAAGATGCTTCTGAAACAAGGATGTAATGAAATTCTGCGTCCATATCACAAACCACATCATTGTTACATAATGATATGTCATATATATCATATATCTTTAATACAATTCAATTATATCAATAAAATTGGAAGAAAAATTTATCACCTTAACCATTATATATACAGCTCAGTGGCATTAAGTAAAATCATATTGTTGTTCTGCCACCCTCAGAACTTTTTCATCTTGCAAAATTAAAAACGTGCCCATTCTTCCTAGCTCCTAGCTAGCCCCTAGAAACCACCATTCTACTTTCTGCTAATGAGTAAAACTATTCTATAATTCCTATAAATAGAATCATACCATATTTGTCCTTGGTGACAGGCTTATAAAAAAAATAATAAAAGATGTATTATTTTTAAAAATGAGAAAACTGAAGGAATGAGTTGACTGACCTGTGATCACATAGCAAGTGAGGGTGTGACTAGAATCAGAATGTGGGCCGAAATTTATCTTTTCCTTACTCTTCTTAGGTATAACACACCCATTTTCTTTACTTTGAGGATTTAAATGTACTTTTGAGATTAGCATTCTCTTAATCTCTCCTTGTAGAGACACAGTCTGTTTTCAAGAATCAGAATCACATAGGGCCTGTTATAAAACAGATTTTGTACTTCCTCCACCTCCCCAGTCTCTGCTGGTCCAGGGATTGCACTTTAGAACCACTGCCTAAAAGCAGACAAAGCTTTGGAGTCAGTCCCTCTTTTGTCTGAACACTGACTCTAAAACTTAATGCTCTGTGCCCCAGATCAATTTTTTTAATTAATAATGTGTCCATTTTCTATACTTTGACATGTGATAATAATGTTTATTTCATAGGGCTATTGTAATTTGTAATTTATATTAAATGAGTTAATTTTTTTTAAAAAGACTTTAGCATACTCCTTGGTACGTAGTGAACACTCAGTTATTTTCTATTGTTTCTTATAATAATCCTGGAGTAAATGAAATGTTTATGAACCATAAGTTTAGCCAGTGTTTTAGAATAGATGCCTAGAGACTTTTGTCACTTTATCACTAAGATGTTGTCAGGAGACACACACACACACACACACACGTTCATATATACAAACACATTCCTCTCTTGACTTGACTTCTTATTTATGGTAGATAGACTTGGCAGAAGAAAGTGAGAGCAGAAGTGGCAAATTGATAAAGGAATTCCACTTCCAGAATGGGATTTGACTACAGACACTTTCATTAATCTCAGGCTTCTATTATATAGTGAAGTAAAGGTAGACAGTATTAAAAAAGCATGTTTCAAAATATGTGGGCTAGCTGCCAATTGAGATAGAAGAGTTTATCAACTGTGTATGTGTGTTTTATGGTGGGAGGAGGCGGGCCTAGGGAACACAAGATAAAGTGTGAATACAGCGTGCAGGAGTCTATGGGAGATTCTTATATTTGTTTATTTATTTAATTTATTTGTTGAAGTGATGTTGATTTACAACACTGTATATGGTTTAGAGGAATAGGGTCATACCTCCTTAAATGTATGTTATCACACTACCCCCTACCCCTCACCAAAAACACCCACTGTCCTTAAGCCTAGGCCATGGGACCTCCTTCTCCTCTTTCAGAGAGAGAGAAAGAGGGAGAGAGAGATTCCCCGCCCCATCTAGTAGACTTAATGAATCTCTCTCTCTCTTTCTATACACACACACACACACACACACACACACACACACACACACACACATACATACCTATAATCAATTTTACTCATTCTAATTCTTGTAGTAGATTGTTCAAGCCACTAAGACTTCTATGGACTGAAAATATTCAAATAGAATAAGAAAAATTTGAGTAATATTATGGGGCAGCAGTAGTTGCTCTTTTATTTCAATCGCATTTGTTGATATTTTACTGATGTATTTATTTGAAAACTTATTGATCGAGAAGAATTTTAGCAAATCACTGTTGGTTATGATAAAAATAAGGTTGAGAGAATATTTGTATCTATATATATTGATACCTATATATATTGATCTCTTTTAAGCAACTTATATTCATAGAGTTTATAGTCATACATTCTTATATTCATATATTCTAAATTAGGTTGAACCTAAACCAATATTCTGAAGTATTTGGTTCTCTAGTATTTTAATTGAGTTTTTTCCTACTTATCTCTTTCCTAAACCTGAGCTACTTATTTTTTAAGAATATTGAGCCCCTCATTGCTTTTTATTTTGAAGCTATTAACCAGATATTTTCATACTATATAAGTTTAAACTTTAAATTTTGTATCCCTGGTTTTTTTTTTTCAATTTAACTTAAGAACTTTCCTGATTTTTAGTGCCTTTTTAAAAAATTCTTTATCTGTAGGAACAGATGGGTGGGCTAATGATCTACTTCAAGCATTATTTTTGATAAGTTATCAATTTTTACCCCTTCAAATATTGTGTCTTAAACTTCCTGAGATTAAATATATATCAAGGTGGCATTAAGAATATATATAATGTATATATATAAAAATATATATAAATTGAGAACATCTTTTCAGGACGTTACTATAATTATACCTTTATTTTAGACAAGGTGGAGGACCATGCTACTACAATATTGTTTCCTCTTGGTTTCATGTCTTCTTACTGCTCTTGAAGCTGTGCCTATAGACATAGACAAGACAAAAGTGAAAAATACTCAACCTGTGGACAGCGCCAAGGTGCAATCGCCAGTAAGTAACATGATGGTGATAGTTCTGTGGGAAGAATTTTAACTAAGAAATGGCCAATATTTCTTATTTCTAAAGTTGGATATTTAGCAACTACTTCTGATATGACAGTGATAAGAGTATTTGATAAGCATATTTTATTTTATTTTTTTAAAGATTTACTTATTTATGCATACAAGAGCTGGGGTATAGCCAGAGATGAGGGGAGTGAGGATTCACCAGGAACAGAGTGGGGAACAGAACAGGCAGATTAACGGTAAAGTACACTACTGAAAGGAGCAGCGGGCAAGTCAGGAGAGATCTGCTGCGCTATGTGGGTTGCTCCCTGGCCGGCGGGGGATAGAATATGTGCCGCACAGACTGCGGATTGCTTCATAGTGCAGTGCTTAACCCCTTGCGCCACCAGGGAGGCCCAGGATAAACATATTTTAAACAATAATGGACAATGATTATTTAATGTAATTTGTATTTTAGATAATACATAAAAGAATTAATCATAATACCTGTCCAATGTGGAGCTAACCAGCTAAGAAAACATTGTGTTATAATCAAAAGAGAGACACATAGCAATGAAAACATACGGGTGATAATGGGAAAAATCAATTAATATTATTGGTTAAGTCTTTATTATCTAAATGCATATAGAAAATCTACCTTTATATTAATAGTAATACATGATTTCAGTTCTTGACATACAGCTCTTCATTTGAGAAATACAACTTTTTAACTTTGTCCAGATTCTCAAAGTAGATATGTCTAAAAACCATTTTGCTAGAAATATTTTTTTAGGGATTGAGATCTTTAGATGCAGGAAAGAAAAAAAAAAAACTTAAAGGAGGGCCTCCCCGGTGGCACAGCGGTTGAGCGCTGGGTTGCAAAGCTGCCCGCGGCCTCTGTGGCGCCGGTTCGATCCCCGGCTGCTCCCCGGCCACCTGAGGAGGGTCCCACATGGCGCGCAGACCTCTCCTGCCGCCCGCTGCTCCCCTCAGCAGTGTACTTCTGTCCTTCTGCCTGCTCTGCTCCCCGCTCTGACTCTGGTGAATTCTCTCACCCTCCCGCGCTTCTGACTGTACCCAGTGCATGTATAAACAAAACAAACAAACAAACAAACAAATAAATAAATAAAACATGTCTCTATTTAAAAAAAAAAAAAACTTAAAGGAGCATTATTATCTTTTTCTTAACTTGAAGGAAACTGGACTTTATTATGATGAATATCTCAAGCAAGTGATTGATGTGCTGGAAACAGATGATCATTTCAGAGAAAAACTCCAGAAAGCAGACATAGAGGAAATAAAGGTAAATGCAATCAAATAATTATTTAACAGACATCTGAGCATGACAGGTACTGAGTTAACTAATGGGTATACAAAGACGAAACTCCACCCAAGCCCTTAAAGAGCCCTCAAAGGAGAATAATAATCAGAACTAGATTGTTATGATATATGTGTGATAAGTATATAATAATATATTTTGGAAATGCAGATGATGGTCACATAATTCCACCTGTGGGAGAAAGTGGGAAGTTGTCCTTCTCTGCAGAGGTTATGCCGGTGCTTAAAGACGTGACTGAGAAAAGGACAGAGGCTAGGAAGCATGATAGGCTGAGGTGCAAGGATATCCAGCTATAAGAGATAAATTGAAAAAATGAATGTAGTAACTTGCTGGAAATGAGTGGGAAGTGGAGGCTGAGTGGCTAAAACATGAGATGGGCATAGGGGCTAGATGTAGGGGCCGCGGGGATTGTGTATCATGATGTGAGGATAGTAGGAAGCTATTCAGAGGTGTAGAACAGATTAGCTTCTAGTGTTTTAATCAGGTGCAGATCAACTATTATAAGAGTTAATGGGCCATATCTTACGCTAGTAGGGGAGGTTTAACCATCTGCCTCTGTCCTGATAGACATAATTGTAACCCTAAACATCTCTTAGTACTCATTCTAAAGAAAGGAAGCTGTAAAGATCTGATGTGAGAGATTCTTTTTTTTTAATGCCCATCCTTGGGCTATCAATCCATTTCATTGTGTATATTTTAGAGTCAGCAAGTAAAAAAAAAATTCCAGTAATTTAAGTTTAAACTTTCCAAATATTTTTGTTTGCTTGCATCATTTTTCTTTATTTATTCATTTTAAATTTTCTCAAAATTTCTATGAACTGTTTCTAGAATCAGAATCAGAACTTTGAAGGAATCTTTCCGGATCAAGCAGCCTTATTTTAATCTCTGTCCTCAGTGTGGGTCTCTTTAAAGGACCTAGTAACATCAGGTCTTAGCAATTACTGTGTTTTCAGTCCATGACTCTCCTCTCAGAGGCTACGAATTGTTCTGGGGAGAGGGAACAGCATTTTGTCATTAATTTTTCTGAATTGTGGAACCAGTTTCTTGGGGTGAATGATATTTATTGTAGAATTTTCGATATCTTATCTATTTAAATTAGGATTAAGAGCATTATTTGGGGATAACATAGAAACTGTGGATAATGAGAGATATATGTCAAGAAATACAGGGAAAAAAGACAATCCACTTCCTGGTTTGGTGTAGAGAATACTTTTATAACTGTCTTATTTCACAATCAATTTCTATTCTCTCTGAAATCAGTGTGGGGTGGGAGGTGGTAGACAAAATGTAAGTCAAACTGCTATTCAATGAAAAAGAAATGAGAAAAAATAGGCAAAAAACCCAAAAGAATCATTACAAATAGTCTAGCAAAGACTCTTGTTACAGTAAAAAAATGGGGGGGGGTTATTGGAATTTGTCCTTTTCTTTCCAGCCTTTGAAGCATTTTGAAAGGAAAATCATACTACAGTTCTTCATGTCCCAAGCACTGCTGATTATCATTTTGCCCACACTGCTTCACAGAATGTGCCTTCATGAAGGATGTCAGCAAACAATTTTTATTCTTTCTAATGTCTTTATCACAGGGGGCCACAGATTTTATGGCTTGTTAAAACACAGATTTCTGAGCCCCACCTCCAGACTTTCTAAGTCAGTGAGTCTATGGACTCATTTCTAAAGCACCCAGTTGATGCTAATGCTTCCACTGGGGACAAGTTTGAGAACCACTGTTCTACCTGGCCGTTCTCTTGAAATACACTGTTCTTTTTTATTCTGTCACAGCATGTTCTCATAGTTCTCCTTCTCCCTCTCGAACATTCAGTCTTGGTTTCTCTTGTGAGGTTTCTTTTCTTTACCTTCCTCAGCAGGCCTCCGACTCAGTCCTAAAAGGTTTGTCTGCTTGGTTTCTAATTAATCTCACAATTTGTGATTGCAAATGTATTAATAAACAAGAGAAAGTAAGCCACTAGCTATTTTGTTTCTTAAACCTTGGAAAATGTATCTAGTTACTCATCTATGAAATATATAATCAAAGGAAACCACTGGAAAAGATGAATTTTGAAAATTTATTTCCAATGACTAAAGTTTAAAAAGAGGCCAAATCACTTTTAAAAAATTACTGAAGTAAAGATGAAAAATGATGTAAGAATTATATAAAATAAAATATTTAAAAAATTATTGAAGTATAATTCTCTTTAACATATAATTCCTTAACATACAATTCAATGACTTTTAGCACAACCAGGTATGCAGCTACCACCATTATCTAATTTTAAAACAATTTCATTACTCCCCAAAAAGGAAATCCTGTGCCCATTAAGTAATCACTCCCTAATTCCCCCCTTTCCTCAGCTCCTGGCAACCCCTAAACTGTTTTATGGGTCTAAACTCTATGGCTTTGCCTCTTTTGAACATTTCATATATACAGAATGATGTAACGTGACCTTTTGTGTCAGGCTTAACATAGTGTTTTCAAAGTCTATTGTGTTGTGGAATGTATCAACACATGCATTCCTTTTTTTAGATGAATAATATTCCAAAATACGGATATTCTAAATTTATTTTATCTAAATTTATTTGTTTTATGATGGACATTTAAGTTATTTCTACTTTTTTAGTTAGTGTGAATGATACTGCTATGAATATCCATGTATAGTTTTTATGTGAACATAAAATTTAATTCTTTAGGTGTATACCTAGGAATGGAATTGCTAGATCATATGGTAACTCTGCACTTGACTTTTTGAGGAATTGCCAAATTGTTTTCCATAGTGGCTACAATATTTTACAGTTCAAGTTATTTTTGAGTTTCTTCTTTGTGCTTTAATTATATTTTTCTAAATTATACAGTTTTTAGACATCTTGATTTTAGAATTAAAATGGAATCTCAATATCAATATCAAATTTATCTAAATTCGTTAAAATACTTATTGCCACTTTATTATAATTACTTTTACTACACTATATCTGGTAAAAGATACAATGTAAGAGATAAAACTAATTTATTAATTTTGTTAACAGAGTGGGAGGTTAAGCAAAGAGCTTGATTTAGTAAGTCACCATGTGAGGACAAAACTTGATGAACTAAAGAGACAAGAGGTGTCAAGGTTAAGAATGCTGATTAAGCTAAATTGGATTCCCTTCAAGGTAAGTGATATAGAAAATACAGGAAAATTTCAATACTTGGTTGTTGACATCAGTTTACATTTAGCATGTTCTTTAGTGAAAATTGAATGTTAGTATTGATTTGACATCTCTGATTTTTTAATTTAATTTTTTGAATAAACCAATATATTCACATCATTCAAAAAAATTAAGCTAGCCTCAAATATTCCAAATTAAATGAAGAATGAAAAGTAGTGAATTAATCAACTGATTTAAAAGAGGAAAAGTAACATGAAAACAAACCTCAAGAAAGCACAGAGAAGATCTAATTAGAATAATTTCCATTGATGAAATAGCAAAGTTGTCTGAGAGGTAGCCCTACAAAGTTACACTTCCATGCTCAGACAATATAAAGGAAATTCAATTAAACAATTAAAGAGCAAATTGTTGATGGTATTTACACTATTCCATAGCACAGAAAAAAGGGAAGTCTTCCTAGTTCTTTTTATGTATTAATTTCCAAACCAAAATTACTGTATGTCAGCAGAATACTATATATACATAGGAAGTGGATTTATTTAATAGTACAATTGACTCACTAATAGAATATCTGATATTATAAATCATCATATGAATAGAAATAATAAGAAAATATTATGGTGTGACAAAAGAAATCATAAGGTGAAAGGACAAATGATAAATTGAAATAAATCTTTGAAACTTGTATTTTTTGCAAGTAAGACTTTTTTTTTTAGAACTATATAAGGTGCACAGCACAAATGAAGGAAAAATACACCAATTCTCATAGACATTTTGGTCCTACATGGAGCATAGCTTCTGGATTACCAACCTCTTCTACCAGACTGATGCATTTGTTATAATTGATGCACACACATGCATATACGGGGGGAAAACATGCGTACATATACATGTACATATTTTGTAAATCATAAGTTTACATAGACAGTGCTAATTATCATCCATTTTGATAGGTTTTTTCTTTGCCTTCCATTGTTCCATATTGTATATTTCTTTCCCCTAAGTGAGAACTTAACTTCTAACCACAAAAGCTCCCATGCCTATTTTGCTCACTTCTGTAATACAACTCATATCACAGAATCGCTTCACCCATTCAACTATAATCAACTGTAGCTTGTTTTTAAAAACTTTTTTTAATAAAGAAAAACAAGTGATGTTTCTCTAAAAATAAGTTATCATTCAAATGAATGAACTTGAATTAGATTTTTATTGTTCTATTAAAGATTCATTAGCGCAACATACAAAAAAATTCTTCCATATAAATTTTAGAGCAATTCATTTTAGAAATTCTACTTAGACTTTTGATGAGGGCAATAAATTAGAGTTTATCTACCTAAGTAGGAAATTTGGTAGTTTACCTATAATAAAAACATTTTTACTATTAGTTATGTTCATAATTAACAAATTTTTCTAGAAATAGCATTAAAATTGCATATTAAATTTTATTTCATTTTAAATCTAAGGGTTTTGCCTTTTCCTAGCATGACAATGTGTGTAATATTCTCAAAGAAAATATGAACCTAACTAAAATTTTAAATTTTCTTACAAAATTCTATAGCTGTAAATACAAATGCTTATTCTTATATATACTTTCTATTGTTTCTAGCTTTTAATAATTAATCATTTAGAGCTTTCTCATTTTCTTTCAGATACAGGCATAGACCATCAAGCTCTTCTAAAACAATTTGATCACCTAAACCACATGAATCCTGACAAGTTTGAATCTACAGATTTAGATATGCTAATAAAAGCGGTGAGAATAATTCCAAAAATGTTGTCTTTGAGGTTTTGTAGTTTGATGAGTAAATACAATGAAGTGGTAATACAAATTTTATATATTCTCTAGAATGTCTTTATTTATTTATTTATTTATTTTAAAAAAAGATTTATTTATTTATTTATACAAACACTGGGTACAGTCAGAAGCATGGAGGGTGAGAGAATTCACCGAGCCAGAGCAGGGAACAGAGCAGGCAGAAGGACCGAAGTACACTGCTGAGGGGAGCAGTGGGTGGCCGGGGAGCAGCCGGGGATCGAACCGGCGCTGCAGAGGCTGTGGGCAGCTTCACAACCCAGTGCTCAACCACTGCACCACCGGGGAGGCCCTCTAGAATGTCTTTAAAGAGAGATAGCTTATCCCTTACTGTTGGCAGATCATATAGACATATAGGTCTGTAATTCCTTAACAAATTTTTTTAAAAAGAAGCTATAAAGGGCCTCCCGGTGGTGCAGCGGTTGAGCGCTGGGTTGCGAAGCTGTCCGCGGCCTCTGCAGTGCTGGTTCGATCCCTGGCTGCTCCCGGCCACCGGAGGAAGGTCCCACATGGCGTGCAGACCTCCCCTGCCGCCCACTGCTCTCCTCAGCAGTGTACTTTGGTCCTTCTGCCTGCTCTGCTCCCTGCTCTGGCTCTGGTGAATTCTCTCACCCTCCCGCGCTTCTGACTGTACCCAGTGCATGTACAAACAAACAAACAAATAAATACATAAATAATAAATAATAAAAAAAGAAGCTATAAAAGCTGAATTACCTGGTTTGAATTACAGTAAGGTTATTTGTAGTTTTCATTTAGCCTACTTAATGTGACTATTCATAGATTTTGCTAGAGAAATACTAACCTATTTGATCACAGTCCTCTGTGATCACCTAAGTTTAAGGTATATCGTATGATGACCTGACATATGTGTATACTGTGAAATGACTAACACAATGAGTTTAATTAGTGCCCATCATCTCATATAGATACATACAAAAATAAAAAAAAGAAAAAGAAAAAAAAATGTCCTTGTATTGCGAATCCTAGAGTCTACTTTCTTAACAACTTTCAAATATCCCATATAGTGGTGTTAACTATAGTCATCATGTTGTCCATTACATCCCTACTACTCATTTATCTTATTGCTGAAATTTGGCTATCTTTATCCAGTTCTCCTTCCTAACCTCTGCCTCTGTGGTTGGGTCTCTGTTTCTAGTGTTCTCTGAGTTTGCAGATCTCTTATATTGTGGTTAGAAATCATCCTAGTTT